TCGGTTGACAGCCATTACATTCTTTTCTAAAGAATAATACAGAAGAATGCAGGAGTACAATTTCCCTCTATTTGAGATGTATGATATTATTTTCTATATTTTTAAAAAGTAGTCCAAAGTGTTCCTTTTCTTTCCCCCCCCTCAAGAAAAAAGAAACTAATTCTCCAGCTCAATGAAATATTTAGAGATCAGCCCTTTACAGTTGAGGAAGTGCATGGTAAGATCCAAAGCAAGCAATTCAGATTTTGGAAGCATTTTATGAACTACATTCTGAACTACTTATGTAGTCTAGCTGAATTTTTTATGCTATGCTTTTTTAAATAAACAAAATGAGAGCAGCAGAATTTATGTATGCTTAACATTTATGAGCATAAAATAATAAAATAAAAAATATGACATAGTAATGTAAATGCTTACCATTTAACACAGAATTCTGAAGTAAGAATTTGAGACAGCTGTAGCTTTATTCAGAGGACTGATAGTTGTGTTGTATTATAATTTAGCATTCACAAGAAATGTCCAGAGCATTTGTTTTCCATTTTGTTTTAAACTTGGTGAATGACAGTGTGACACTGTAGTGGTTATGAAGAAAGCCCATTTGACACGTTTTTTCCTTCCATTTAATGAATAATAAAAAAAATAGTAATCCCTGAAGACACATCTTTGATTTAAGTGAGAAAAAAACCAATGAAGAATGAATTACAGCTTATTCACATACTAACTTCAAACATCTAGCAGTTTTAACTGCATTGAACAGCCTGCTGATTTTATTTGGAATTCCATGACAGTAAACAAGTAGAATGAAGCTCATTACTGTAAGAAATGTTTGGCATTTCTTGACTTAGTAAGTCAAGAAACATATAAGATATCATTTCAACATAGAATTAATATTTATTTCAAGGGAAATCACTGTCACAGTTTAACTCCAGCTAGCAAAATACCACGAAGCTGCTCTCACAAACCCTCCTCCAAGAGTCGGAGAAAAAAGAAACAAGGAAAGTCGTAAAATTGAGATAAGAACTATTTACTAATTAAATCTAAATTAATATATACGAATACGACCAATAGTAAATAATTAAAATAATATACAACATATGATACAATTTCTCACCACCCACTGACCAATGCACAACCCAGTGCTGAGCAGTGAGAGCCAGACCCAGAGAGTCTGAGAGCCGCAGGCCGAGCAAACACAGGGGGCAGGGAGAGGGTCAG